AGAGACCAAGACCTCAAGACACCTGCAAAAGTAAAAGAGAGGAACGACTGAAAGCCGAAGTTATAACTTCAGCTCAGGAGTCCATGTTTGGAGCTATTCAGCCTTGAGCCGTGAGTTGTTATACTCTTCCTGCTTGCGAGCTTGTGCTGCAAGCCTCTAGTGCCAGGGGGTACACCATCCAGGGCAGACTGCTTTCTGCAGACATAGCAGACTGAGTGTACTTGAAGTTTCACAAGGACCAGACCTGGGTCAGGGGTACTTCCCAGACCATGAGCTCGCTTTCCCTGTTACCAGCCTGTGTTCTCCTGTCCCCAGGCCATGAGCTCTCTTTCTCTGTTACCAGCCTGTGTTCTCCTGTCCCCAGGAAAAGAAAAAATAGTGTTCAATGTCCTGAATGTGTTCAAAGGAATAGGAAGATCACGACAGAAATAACTGTCACCAGAGAGAGAATCTGTGCCAGAGACACACTATGCTACTCCCAAATAGGCCACTCAAGATAACAACAAGGTTTTATTTTGACCTGAAGGACTTAGAAGAAGCAAAGAGAACCCTTCTGTGTTCCTGATAATGACTTAAAAAAACAAAACAAAAAGGGTCATTAGTCCTTAGGAATCCATCCTCCTGTTTCTACTAAGACAAAGAATGGAGTGTCCATAGACAAATCAGCTTGCCTCTAACAGTGTGCAGGGTCTTACCCATCCTCCGTGTCTCCTGATACCTTGAGTTGAACTTGTTAAATGCTTATTTACCTGGGAAATGGTTTCATTTTAATGGATTTGTTTTGCTCATATAAGAGCAGTTTCAGAACAATAAAGCAGAGTTCTCACATACTTCCCCCTAAATGTCTCCTACTAAACTTTTATTATATATTTAAGAAGAAAGAGACTTCCTTCTGCCCCTGTGGATGGACAGGTGCTGCTGTAACTTCTTGGGAACCCACAGTCCTGGGGACTAAGACCCTCTATGGCTGTACCTTCTTGGGAATCCATAGTCCTGGGGCTGAGACCCTCTATGGCTGGCTGTACCTTCTCAGGAATCCACAGTCCTGGGGACTGAGGACCTCTATGGGGTTTCCATTCTAGTTTCTATCCTGACTCAACCCCTTATCTTTCACCTTAGATATCAGGCCACTGGACACTAACAGGTGTCAACTGTGTCCACACCAAGGGCCTGCTAACCTGGTTTCTATGCCGGCTGATTCCTTGTCCAGGTCCCTCCTCCTTACAAGCTGCAGAGGAGGCTATGCGCTTTCTGCATCCCAGAGATGCACTTCAACATGATTTTGAGTATCTAAAATTGATGGACGTAGAAAGAGGGTCAGCACTCCCAGAGTCTCTGCGTCAGGGGGCCCCTAAGGACATCTGCTGCAGTGTCGGTGGAAGAGCCCCCATGGCTGCACCGGAGAGGCAAGTAGCCCATGGCAGCATTTGCCTCAGTGCTGGTGAAGTCTCCTTGCTCTGCGCCGCCTCCAGGCTTTCCTTGCAGGAATCTGACCACATTTTAAGAATGGCTGCTCATTGGCCTTTTGCTCTCTGTAGAATACTGGCCAGCAGTGTCATTGCCTATAAAAACTCAAAGTAGCCAAGCCCCACCTGTTTATGTGCCCAGCCAACACGTATTTGCTGAGAACACTGTGCCAGGCACTGAGTGTTGTGTCAGTGAAAGGGGAGTCTCCGCTTTCAGGGTGACTATATACAGTGAATCGAAGCTACAGAAAGGGGTACTAGCATAATGAGACTAATTATTTTGGTCATGTCAAATACAGACGTAATGTGATTGCTTATGGCAAAACAAGGACTCATTGAGGTGCAGCGCCACCCATCCTGTAGGCCAGACGTCAGGAAGAGTGGCTCCACGTGGAAACACTCAATGGGACTATTACTCATAGGACAGTAAACAGAGTGACATAGGAGTGTGTAGGGGTGTCCCACCTATCTATTTTTTTTTCAAATACACCCTACAGACACAATGCCCAGATGCTCCCGACTTATAACAACTGGGCCTACAGTGTCTTGATTTTTGTGAACATAAATCCACACGCCATTCTCTTCTTCACTGTAGCTCTGTCTTCGGTAATGTAGTGGCATTTCATTTGTATTTTAATAAATACAGCTTGCCTGGGGATGGGGAAAGTAAAACAGCCACACTGGCCAGCCTCGCAGACCAGGCAACAATGATGCACACCTTTAGAGGATTATAAAACTGGAGGAGACAGCTCTCTGTCTCTGTCCCACTCTGAGATTCTGGGAGGCAGGATGGCCATTTCGGACCGAGATAGAGACAAGAGCCAGTGGCTGGCTGTTTTGTTTTTCTGACCTTCAGGTTGAATTTCTCCCCCACCCCCAAAAAAGAGAGGGGATCAATGCTCAGTACAATCATATTTGTCTATGATGCTACATCTCCAGTGAACGAGCATTTTGGAGGAAGTCTGCATGCTCGACAAGGAGGAAGGAGGTGGACAAAGCAGATGTTTGTTGGGGCATTCATTATCCCAGCTGTGGTGTGTGGCACTGCCTTCTTCATCAACTTTATAACCACGAATTATCACCCCTCTAGAGCCATTCCTTTTGGAACACAATAATTGACATAAGCAAACCAACATGTCAATATAAAGTGGGCCTTGGATTAAGCAATTTTGCCCAAATCCAGAAGCAACTGTGTATCAAAACCAGCATTCTCATAGTTTCTGCACGGGTCTATAATGAAAGAAATGTGTTCAGAGTCCCTGGGAAGCAAAGACAAATGACCTAGAATGTACTTTGGTGGCACCATTACATGTCAGCAGACAGGGGCAGTTGAAGTATAGCTCAGGGTCTGTTCAAGAGGATAGGATATGAAACATTTCAAACAACAGATGACAGAATCAGTTTGGTAATCAAAAGACCTTCATCCCAAGAACCTTCAGAAATTGCTTTTAAAAAGGAAAGAAAAATGGCCATAGATAAGATAAGGACCAGGGACTTCAAGGGGAACTGAGAAATCAATTACACTGACTGAAGTAGATGCCAACTGACAAGAGAGGAACCCTGGATGAAGCTAGGCAGTAGCTGGTTGCAGGTAGCTCAGGCGACTGCAGCAGCGCGGTGGGCTCCTATCCTTGGACAATCAGAGTTGGGCGCTGAGAAACCCCCTTTGGCCCTCAGTGTCTGGCCAGCAACACCAGACAGACTGTTAGCCCTCTGAGTCACAGCACATGCTCACCCAGGCCGGCAAGTGAGCACCTAGCCGAGATGCTCAGTGGTATATACTACCTAAGAGACGGTCAGTTCCAGCTCTGGGAGCAGCTGTGGAGCCTGACCCTGGGGTCCAGTTTCTCTGGTCCTCATCGTTTCCATAAATCTGGTGCTGCAAAGATCTTACCAGGAGTTAGGAAACATTGTCACAACAATGGAAAACAGATTATTACACAATCAAGTGAGACATGTTGAGACTATACAGTAGCACACTTTTGAGTTTTTTTATTTACCTATTTATTTATATATATAAAAAAAGTCTCATGTCATCCAAGTCAGCCTCATGTGACTGCAAACTTGCTGTGACGCCAAAAATGACCTTGACCTTCCGGTCTTCCTGCTTCCACCTCCCAAGTGCTGGGACTACAGATGGGCAAGGTTCTGTCAGCACAGTGCTGAGGATGGAACCCGGGGAGTCACACAATGCGAAGCAAGCCCTCTACCATCTGAACTGCCTCCTCAGGCCTTAATTTGTTGTTTTCGTTTTATGACACAAAGTCTCGTGTTCTCATTTTGTTGATAAGCAGAGAACTTAGGGCCTGTGCCTGAGGACACGGGAGTGAATGGCAGCATGGGTGGTCCCTGCCAGCTTGGGTCTATCCTGCCAGTGGGTAGAGGGATGTGAGCGGTGGCAGCATGGAAAACCATCCTTTAGTGAATGCTTGAAGGAGAGACACTGCAATAAGGTAAATTTCATGGGACCTCTGAAACCTATGGAAAACCAGCCCCCAGCCCCAGCCTCCAGACCTCTGCGGCATCAGCCTCGGGGGTGGGCAGCTCAGCGGCAGTGGGTCTCCAGCACTTGGACACTTTGCCAAGAAAGCCAGTGAATGCCTGGATTGTGGGGAGAGCATGTGGGGAGCCCCAATCACAGGATGCTCTGCCCGAGAGCCCATCAACCCAAGGAGCTTAGGGACCAGACAGGGCATTTGTGGAAGTCCCCATTTCAGGAGCGACAATGTCCCTCGAGAAGCTCCACACACCCTGTTGCGATCCTGCTCTCACCTCACGACCTCCCCTCTGTTGGAGTCCTGTGGTTTCATTCATCAGCCAACCAATGTCAGCACCAGTCCCCACCCCCAGCAGAGGTCTGCTCTTCTCTAGGATCCTTGTGACCTGCCCCAGCTCTGCCCTTACTAACCAACCCTATGTCCAGGGACAGCCCATCTGCCTCCATTGACTAGAATTACTCTTTGGCACCTGGTGAGGTGACCAGTGGGAGGCCACCTGAGTTCAGCCCTCTGTCATTCCCAGGGCACTGAGCTGGTGCCTCCCGGCAACAGTTTTGTGTAATAAAGCGGCGGCAGCACCGTGTGGGTGTCTTGTGATCAGGTCTGGATGAGGCACAGTGCATGGAAAACACCATAGTAAAAGGACCCAGATGGAACAAGGGCGTGAAGTGAATGAACAAGCATGAATTCATTCTCTGCCCTACACATGTCTGGAAAGTTAGGGAGAATCCAGTCAATGGGGTTACCCACCCAAACTACCGCCCGCCTAGAATTTAGCTCCCAGGCTCATTCCCTTAATGGGGGTATGGTGTTGACCAGGCTTTCAGACATGGGCAGAGAGGCAGACACACACTGGAAGGGGCAGCTCCTCTTTTATAGAGGACGTACAATCAATTGCTAGAGCTGACTGATGGAGTCCTGGGGCTGGACCACAGGCAGAGAAGGGAGGAAACATGTAGGCGGAATTTCTCTATGTCCTAGCAGCTGCTCCCAAATAACCACATAGAGACTTAATATTAATTATAAATATCCGACCGATAGCTTAGGCTTAACTTCAACCAGCTCTTACAACTGAAATTAACCCATTTCTATTAATCTATTGCTGCCCCAGGGTTCGTTTCCCTCATCTATGAACTTCCCATGTTCCACATCTGGCTCAAGACTCCTCAGACCCTGCCCTTCTTTTTAGCATTCTCTCTGCCCTGAAAGCCCTGCCTAGCTATCGGCCAGTCTGTTTTTATTAACAGTGAGGACAACACATGTTCACAACGTGCAGAAGGATTATTCCATAGCAGAAACCCCTCAGGCTTCACAGCTGGACAAAGCCTGCCCTCACCCTCCCAGTTGTGACTGTCCTTTGTTTCCAAATAGACTGGAGATCACAGAAGCTCCTGAAGTCCTGATGAGATTCTTGTCATCCTAGAATAGAATCCTCAGGGTTCATCTGAAGGGTAAGGTATCCTGGGGCTGTAGGCTACACAGAGGGCATCGCACATAACAACTGTGCTAATACCAGGGTTGACCTACGCCTTGTTCAAGGAAAAACTGTCCAACATCTGCCCTTCGCCCACAGCCGGACTGAAGGCCTCTCCTCAGGGTTTTCATTTGCCAAGAATCTTTGAACTCAGGTTAAAGCAGCAAATTTCACTACCGGTCCAGGAATCAGCAGGTAACACTGGAGCTCAGCTCTTTTGAAGTGGTGATGATCAGACTCAGGTCTTCTGAGGTAGTTGCAAGGAGGGATCCGTGGGATATATGAAAAGAAGAAGCCCCCCAAACAATTCACTGTGCCTCCTGGGGGGGGCCTTCCACAATCCCCGGTAACAGATTCACAGCCATGATGTCTTCCTTGCACCTGCACTTGGAGGCCAGCAGATGGCGACCTTGGAGACAGAGCTCCACATACAGCACCCTGGACAGAGGCGAGGGTCTCCTTTAGCCTAAAGCCTCTGCCTGTGGTCCTGCTCCAGGGCCCCCATCTTCAGCTCTAGTGATCGTACTCAGTGAACAGTCTCTCTTAGAATTCTTCTGACTGGAGTAGAAGTACCACACCTAACGCTATGAAACATTTCAGTCACATGATGACACCTGGCTCTGAGCAGCAGCGTCTAAGCCTACGTGGGAGTTCTGCTCTTATCGGCTGAGATAGATAAAGCAGACACTGAGAATCAGCAGCACCCAGCTGGCGTGAAGGCTCACGGTACTGTTGCAGAGGTCCGTGTTGCAGCAGGAGGCCTTGGAGTTATTCTGGTTCTGAAGGACATCGGGACAGGTAAATCCACATGTTCTTGTGATGAGCGTTTGCTGGCCTGGGGGTGCTGGAAACAGAGGGCAGAAGGGGAGCCATTTACTGAGAGACCTATAAGACCCATTCCTGGCCCTATTAACAAACCCAGGCCACCTACAACCTCCAGTTCAGGGGGACCCCCAGCAAGAAGTCAGGAGGGTCAAACTCAGGTTGTGACCAGAAACAGGGCTCAGTATGTGGTCAAGATTAAGGATTAATATGTAACCCAGGGTAGGAGATCATTGTGATGAAGACCAAGACTCAGATTGTGACCAGGTATAAGGTTCAGAATATGATCAGAATTAGGACTCAAAGTGGAATCCAAGGTCAGGGCTCAGAGAAGCGCCTAGGGTTACCCACTCCCTACTTTTCTCCCCTTTCCTTTCCGAGCAGCCAGCACTCTTGGGAAGGGTTAGACTTACACGTTTCACGTGTCTGCGCTACATACGGTGGCTCACTTGGAATATCCCACTCACTCTAAAACAGTACTGTTGGGTTCCATTTTGAAGGGAGGGCAATGCACTCAAAAGCTCTCAACAACTGAGAGGACTCTCAGGGCCATATCTTCCCAGCCCTCCCCCCAACTCTACCAGCAAGTTGCCTTACCCTAGCATCCCCGGGTACCAGATAAAAGGTTCCATGCCCTGTCCCACCCACCTAGAACCAAGGTACTCACCATACCAGGTGGTCAAGCAGTAGCGGCTCTTGTCGCTGCAAGATCTAGGGTTGTAGCAGTTTCCGGTGGTGGTACTACACTCGTGACATTTCAGCGCCTGAGCTGGAGGGACACAGCTGGGGTCAGAGATGGAGGCATTCCATAACTACACCAGACAGCACAGGAGACATAGACAGTTCTGTGGGAAGCACTAACCACCGATCAACCCATTCTGTCCCCCAATCACCCACATGGACAGCCCCTCAGCAGCCACACTGAGGCACAGGGACATAGGGCTCTGTCTCTGGTCCAGGAAACCAAAACTCTAAGCAGCCAGCAGTCCATGCTGCTGGTCATAACCCACAACAGAAGGTCACCGGCTACATGATGCTAATCCCACAAGACTTGGCAAAAGAGACAGCAAGTTCAACAAAATATCTAGACTTGATAGAAAAGATGAGTAGGGAGAATGAGCGAGATGGTAGAGAAGCTTGCTGCCGAGCCCCCAAAGATCTGAGCTCAATCTCCAAAAACTCACATGGTAGAAGAGAATTAATTCCAACAAATTGTCCCCTGATGTCCACATGCACACTTTGACATGACCACACACACACACACACAGAGAGAGAGAGAGAGAGAGAGAGAGAGAGAGAGAGAGAGAGAGAGAGAATATAAATGTAGTGAAAGAATTTTAAGGCTAGTGAAGGTACCACAAAAGGGTTCCATGGCTAGACTGTGTCCCAGTGTCCCACCTCCCAGCTCAGGCAGCCCGGCTGTGAGGCCTTCAGTAGGTCCTGTCCCCTATACCAGCACCTCCTCTGGACAGCAGGACCACATCATCTGGAGGCAGGTCCAGCCAGGTCGGGATATCAGCCAGAGTCCTGAAGGACTCTGGTGACCTAGTACAGGGTTCCTACTTCCTGGCTTACCTGAGGAGCCCAGCAGAATCAGGGGCAACAACCAAAGCAGATGAGTCCTCATCTTGGGCAATGGGCAAGCAGAGCGTGTGTCTGGATGAGGCTAGTGCTGGACCAGCCTGTCTTTATAGTTCCTCCTGCTGTGGTGGGTGGGGCCTCGGTCCCTCTCTCACCTCTGACATGTATCACCTCTAAGGGTGTGGTTGAAAGGTAAACACTTCCAAGATTGCCTTGTCCGGTGCTCCAATCCCTTTTCCAAATGTCCATCCCCCCTTTCTCCTGCTCCCTAAGCCCCCACCTAACCCCATCCGGCTGTGTTGCTCCTACTCCAGTCAGGCCATCGTCCAGGGACCATTGTCAGTCCCTTGTCCATCTTAGAAGATGTTTCAGGCTGGGTTGAAACACTGGGAAATTGTCTTCTCCTGGTGGAGGAGGAAGGAGCCCCAGGTCACAGTGCCTATAGGTTTCATCCTCTCAAAATTCCACTCCTTGGTATATAGAGGGCAACTTCCCCTTCATATCCTCACATGTCACCCTCTCTGTGTGCCTGTGCCCTGACCTCTTCTAGACAGAATGCTTGCCAGATTGGATTGGATCATATAAGTAACTTCCACGTACCTTAATAGTCTATTAGAGGGCAGTTTTCCAAAAGTCCCAACCTGAGGGACTGGGCACTAGGGATCTCAACATATGATTTTGAGGGGATAGAATTCAGCTCATGTGCTGGCTAGTTTTATGTAAACTTGACACAAGCTAGAGTCATCTGAGAGAGGAGAGCCTCAGTTGAGAAAAATGCCTCCATAAAATGGGGCTGTAATATTAACCTTCATCAGGCGATGAAAGGAGACAGAGACAGAGACCCACACGGGAGCACCGGACAGAAATCTCAAGATCCAAATCAGGAGCAGAAGGAGACGGAGCACGAGCAAGGAACTCAGGACCACGAGGGGTGCACCCACACACTAAGACAATGGGGATGTTCTATTGGGATCTCACCAAGGCCAGCTGGCCTAGGTCTGAAAAAGCATGGGATAAATCCAGACTAGCTGAACATAGCGGACAATGAGGAATACTGAGAACTCAAGAACAATTGCAGTGGGTTTTTGATCCTACTGCACGTACTGGCTTTGTGGGAGCCTAGGCAGTTTGAATGCTCACCTTAGGAGACCTGGATAGAGGTGGGCAGTCCTTGGGCTTCCCACAGGTCAGGGAACCCTGATTGCTCTTCGAGCAGATGGGGGGGGGGGGACTTGATCGGGGGAGGGGGAGGGAAATGGGAAGCGGTTGTGGGGACGAGGCAGAAATTCTTAATAAATAAATAAATTAAAATAAAAAAAAAATGGGGCTGTAAGCAAGCCTGTGGGGGGGTGCATTTTCTTAATTAGTGATTGGTGGGGAATGGCCCAGTCCATTGTGGATGGGAACATCCCTGGGCTGGTGATCTTGTATTCTACAAGAAAGCAGACTGAGCATAGGAGCAAGCCAGTAAGCAGCACCCCTCCATGGTCTCTGCATCAGTTCCTGCCTCCAGTTTCCTGCCTTGTTTGAGTTCTTATTTATTTGAGTTTTCTGTTTGATTGCCTTTGAAGACCCTGTTCATAATTGCAAAGTGTGAAAGAGAGAAGGGTATGAAACCGATCTCCTCAGAGCACCTTCAAGCCCCTCAGTTCCTCCAATAAGTCCAGGGAGGGTTCCCTCTATGGCCTGCCAGGGGACAGAAGAGGAATCCACAGTGACATTCACACCACAGGCAGGATAAAATGAGGCACAATGGAGAATATTGAGCTCAGAATGTTGGGGGGCAATGGGCTGAGGATGCTGGATATCAGTGGGCTGGGGATTTTGGATATCGGTGAACTGGGGGTGCTGGGGACCAGTGGTCTTGGAATTCTTGTTGTCAGTGGACTGGGAATGCTGAGGATCAGTGGTTTGGGAATTCTGGGTATCAGTGGACCGGGGATGCTGGGGGACAGTGGGCTAGGGATACTGTGGGACACTGGGTTGAGGATACTGAGGGACAGTGGGCTGGGGATGCTGGGGGACAGTGGGCTGGGGATGCTGGGAGGCAGTGAACTGGGGAAGTTGTGGGGCCAGTGAACTGGGGAAGTTGTGGGGCCAGTGAACTGGGGATTCTGGGCATCAATAGACTGGGGGTATTAGAAGCAACAGGCTGGAGATGCTGGGAGGCAGGGGTATGAAAGCATGTTAGTGTCCATTGGTGATGTTCATAGGTTGAGCAGAGCTCAGCTCTGTAAAGATATTCAGTGATGCCAAGTGTAAATACTGGTCTTCCTTCCCAACTTGCAGGATCCCATTTTATGGCAACAAAATAGAAAGCCCAAAGGGAAAAGGGACCAGCCAGGTCATGCTGTGAGTTAGGGCTTCCCTCCCCCCGGAGGCTTCATCTGCCCATTGAGGGGAATTTTCCCCTGGCACACTCCCAGGCTCCCAGGACAAGGAAAGTATCCTGCTGTGCCCCAGGCTTGTGTCTTGCTCCCCTTCTGGGGTCCCAGTCATTTAGACTGGCTAGTAACCAACAGGATCACATCCTACCCAGAACTTGGCCAGCAGTCAAGCACAACGGCCTTCTGCCTGAGCCAGCTGTGCAGTGAGAGCCTTTTACACATGGTCATGTATCCAGGGAAGTGGCTGACTTCATAACACCTCCCAGACGAACCCTCTAAGGTTAAAGGCTGCATGACCTCAGCCACTCTGCTGTCATGATTACCTCCTCTGGTTAACAAGGCTCAGGGGTTATCCTGGTGAGGCACACATTCCAGATAAGGGACTTAGGCAACACCTTGACCAGTCATAGCTGCCAGCCTTGAAGGCCTGTTTGTTGTTTTGGTTCCTCTAGACAACTTACACAGAACAGTAGAAAGTCAGCAGGGCTACAATCCCCCAGGAATGGAGCTGTCCACATTCCAAGCCTAGCAGTGTAGGTGCCCTGCCTCACCCAAAGGTGATTGACTAGATGGGAATAAGCTAAAGATTTAGGCATGGGGAGATGACACTAAGAGTTCTAAATGTCATTATGGAACCTTTGTAGAGGCAGAGGGCTGGGGAGGTGGCTCCGTCAGCGTAGTGCTTTCTTTGCAAGCATGAGATTTGGAGTTTGGTCTCCAGAGAACCCACACGAGAAGCTGGGTGTGGTGGTATGTGCCTATAATTCTAGCAGTAGAAAAGTACAGATAGATCGGTCTCAGAGGCTTGCGGGACAGTCAGTCTAGCCTCCTTGGTGATCTCCATGCCAGTGAGAGACCATGTCTCAAAAAGCAGACAGACAGAGAGGCAGGCAGGTAGGCAGAGAGAAACAGACAGAGAGAGGAAGGGGTGTACAGGACCCACACCTGGACCCTTTGTCTCTGGGATTCTAGGTCACTGTGTCCTGATGCTGTCTTCACCAAGGATGCGGCACTAAGAAAAGGTGTGTCTGTCTATTTTCTGGAAGTCTTTGGTTACCTGTAGTCCAGGATGGACTTGAACTATTGATCTTCCTCCCTCCACCTCCAGAGAGCAGATAGCACAAACGTGGACTGCCACACCTAGTGTCATGAGTTGGTTTTTAATAAAACTTTATTATGGTGGCAAAACACACACAAGCATCTACCTTACCTCTGTAGCTATTCAAACAGTTGAGTGGCAGTAAGAGCATTCACGTTGAGCCACCATCACCATCCACTCATCATGAGTGATGACCCACCATTGTTATCTACTAATAATCCACAGAATGTTTTCATCTGTCTAGACAGAAGTTGTCCCCATTAAGCACTGATGATGTGGGATTCCCCTCTGTATGCTATGATTGCCATTGATTAATAAAGGAACTGCTTTGAACCTATAGCAAGGCAGAACTTAGCTAGGTGGGGGAAACTAAACTAAATGCTGGGAGGAAGAAGGCGGAGTCAGTGAGAAGCTATGGGGCCCCTCTGGAGACAGACGCTTGGGATGAAACTTTATCCAGAAAGCCACAGCCACATGGCGATACACAGATTAAAGGAGATGGGCTAGTTTGGGATATAACAGCCAGAAAAACGTTTAAGCTATTGACCAAACTGTATTGCAAATAATTTGGTTTCTGTGTGATTATTTCAGAAAGTCTGGGCAGGACAGAAACCTAAATTTCTCATTTCTGTCCCATGTGTCCTGGTTATGGTTGGCTTCCGGTTGGGTTGACTTTCATAGTGGCGCTCATATAAGACATAGCGTAGCAATTCTTTGTGGTTTTGTCAAACATCATAAAGTAACGCTCCACACCTGTTGTATACACACCCATCAGTTTCAACAGCATGTAAAACCCCTCTCCTTTAGAGGTCTAGCCTCAGCTCAGTCCAGTACGGTATTGGTATCACAACATTACGTTCTATCCAACCATGCATCCCAAATCATTAATTAACCATTGTTTCAATTTACTAATCTCTGTGACATGTAGAAAACAAAATGTGGGTTTCTAAACCAAATTATAGCTAGCAACAGATACTCCAGGCTGCCACTCTGTCCTGAGCTGCTACGCACAATTTCCTAAGCCTAGACTGCAACCCCACAGGCCCCTCACACAGGTGTAAACCATAAACCATAAACATTACACACCCATCTGATTGTTGGTCAAGAGCCAGTCCAAACCACCAAATTACAGAACTCCCTGTTAGGCTGAAAGTGTGTCACCAGGGAAAGTCCCCAACTACTCGCTGTATTACACTATGATTAGATGGGACTGGGACTGTCTTTGTGGTTTTCCCCTTTAAAACTGGCTGCTACCCCTGGGCTTGAGCAGCATGGTTTGAAGCCTGAACTCTGCCACCTCCACGATACCAGTTTTTCCTAACTAAATTTTTGGCTTGCTCAAACCCTGTCTTTCATGGTTTCTTGGACCCTAACAATGGCAGCTTTGGAATAATTTCCTTATTATTCCCTAGTCTCATGAATTTTGTACTCATGTCCAATTGTAAATGTTACTTCCTAATTGCCCTCACACTTCCCTTTCTGAGACCTTTATTCTCCCCATGACTTTTGGTCACCTTGCAGTATCTCCCTTGCCTGTGGGCTGCAGCTAGTGCCTGTCTGGGAATGCCTTCGCTTCC